GACTTCTGCATGGCTGCTTGGCTGTGCAGCTGTCCTTTACTTGTAAAGTTTTCTGCTCTTCACATATCAGAGATCTGTATTGTCAAATTAACCTCATATGGTCTTGAGTTATATATAGCACTTAACACGTACAGTGCACATTGGAGTTTGAAACTCTTGCTGTCTGCTTAATACAATATTGATATCTTATCACCAAGATAAGAATAGAAGATAAATACAATTTAGTCGATACAGTACTGACAGATAATACCTGTTCACTGTGTATCTCAGTAACAGGCAGTTCAGTAAAAGCACTTCTGATAGAGGTGTACCCAAGCATCTATATTTTAAAGCTTTATCAAAACACATGAACTCATTGCCAAAGCTTCCTAATTCATAGACATGCATTATAAATACAAAATTGGAAACACTGAAATTGAAAAGACAACTTATGAAAAAGACGTGTGTTCCTATTGACACAAGATATACAACTGCTACACAATGAGCACGGAGACTCAAAAGCAAACAAAATATTAGTATACAGTACTGAATTAAAAGCAGATAACTCCAATCAAGGGGTGTTGTGTTAAATTGTGTAATGCACAAGTAAGGACATTAAAATATTGTGTAAAAATGTGGTCACAACAAAACAGAAAAAATATTGCTGTTCTACGATATGTTCAAAGAAGAGCAACCACACTCTGGGACTGAGGCAATGTCCTACCCTGTCAGGCTGAAGGAACTGAACATTTTTAGTCTTGAACAGAGAAGATCATGATGGGACCTGATGCCACCATTCAATACCCTCAGACACACTGACATTGTCAACCCAGGTTATCTCTTCACAATCAACAGTGAAACATTGGAAGTGCATTTAAAACATGAACAAGAGGCATTCATTTACCCAGAGGGTTATGGGGGTATGGAAGAAGTTTCCCAGCCATGTTGTTGAAGTCAATACTTGACTTTTTTCAGGGAGGAAGTGGGAGGAAGTGACTGGGTGACACACAAACACAGGGAGAAAATACAATCTCCACACAGATAGCACTTCAGGTCTGACAGAACAATTTAAACTCTTTTCTACGAATCAGTTAAAGAACGATAAGAGAATAATGGGGTGTGTGGCACTCCAGCTGTGCTGTGATTTCACACCACTCCCATCTGGGAGATGTCTCTATGACCCAAGGGGTAATGGCAGTGCACTCAGGAAATATTTCATCCTGTACGCAATCTCATTCTCAAACTGTGTGTGGGCCAGGATGATGCATATTAAATGCTGCTTTTGATTAATGTAGTTTTATTATTAAATGCTGCTTTTGATTCATGTAGTTTTAAAGTGCTGACTTTACTAACAGAAGAGATACTGTATCTCAGTAGCTAAAGGCAACATTGTGAACTAAACAGAACTGCTTAAAGATGTGTAAGTTTGAATCTTCCTTCTGATTTTCTAGCATATCAGTGCAGCTCCTGAATTGGGTCATCAGAGTCTGGAACAAGCCCCCCCTGCTGTTGAAAACATACAGTACCCTGGTCCCTTTCAAGAAATGTCTGGATGAGATCCTTGAATCAATGAACTATCAAACTGAACAGTCTTTTCTTGTTTGTGACTTTTCTGTTCGGGGTTTAAATACACACTCCAACTTGATCTTGTTAGCTTTATAGGTCACCTGTTTTAAAGGCTGGCAATATCTGTAAACTATTGATGAATCAAGCAAATAATCTGTTAAATTAAGAGACAGCTCTGGTCCTTGAGAGCTGCAGATTACTTGGATTTATGTTTTACATAATCTCTAAAATACTCAATTTAACAAATCACCTGTTCAATTGTTCATTGTGGAATTGTTCCACATCATTAGAAACTGATGATTTAATGGTGACCTTTAGAAACAGATAGACTGGTGCTCTCCTTAACCAGGGTTGGGGATCCCTGTTCTATATAGTGTTTACATGCAGTATATTCAACACCTAATGTGATAAAAGATATTCAACTTCTCTACAGAACTCATAAAATATTTTAAATAATGAATTATAAATATTAACCTCAATAGTGATTCATACTGTTGTCCATAAAAAACACAAACATCTTTTAAATAAACAATGGCTATTGTTTAAAAAAAACATACTTATGAGAAGACTTAGTGAGTAAGCTTCATAGATTGCCAACACCTCCTTCAATCAGAGCTTCACAATTATTTTATCAAGTTGAATCATTCAGTTATGCAATAACTGTAAGCAGTAATGAAAGGTGCTGAATTCTGTGAGCTGAATGACTAGTGGGAGAAGTCCAGTATGTGTCACGGTGTGCAGTGCGGTCTAGTGGTGAGGAACGCACACAGCACACCCGGTTATTGCTGCTTAGGATGTGTGTACTGGCGCAAGTTCAGCAGACTCCCAGGAGGCAGCCCGGTCCAGGAAATACTGAACTCATTTCACTAGCCATGGCGACAGACAGAGACCTTTCTTCAGCTCACACTAGAAACACCCCCCCCCCGTACAGCAGGCTCCCAGACTCACTTTCTGGACCTCCACCCTGAGCAGGCCTTAAACCAATTACCCGGTTTGGTGAATTGTGAGCATTTTCAATGGAATAAAACCCAGAAGACAGTAGACCCTCCAGAATTTGCAGTTCAGAATCATGTCATATACAGTACATAGGGTGTTAAGGGTATTTTATTTACACGTACTGTATTAGCCATATACAATTTCTTGTATTAGGAATTTGTCTTTTCGCATACCCCAGCTTGCTCTGCATGAGACACAAAGACAGGGAGAGAAGCTTGGGGTCAGCTTCTCTTTTTTATTTATATTTTATATGGTGCCCCTGGAGCAGTTGAGGTTAAGGGCCTCGCTCAGGGGCCCAACACAGTAGGATTCCTCTGCTGGCCGCAGGATACAAACTGTCAACCTTGCAGCCACAGGCGCAGGTCCTTAGCCACAGATCCACCACACTGCCCATACTTATTATCATTGATCAACACATCAGGGATCTCCCACACTGCTCCTTGAAGGCCAGTGTCTTTACAAATTTTTAGTCTAGCTGAGCTCTTCATTACCTAAATCAATTCATTATTGGCTTAAATAGAAGAGTTTAACGCTGCTGCTCCTAGAGACTTAAAGAGACTTTGAAAGCAACCTCACCGGCCCTCCAGGGGCAGGACTGGGGAGCCCTGGTGTTTTTTAGTCTGCGGCCCTTCCCATCTGTTCCACTGTAGGTGAGAGTCCCTCGTTTTCAATTCCACACCTGCCTGACCCACGCCCTTCTGCATCGGAGCACTGATACGGAGGCAATGCCGGCAGCACTTCTCAAACCCTGCCCTGGGGTGCCCTGAGCCTCTGGCTTTCTTTCCAGTTGGGCAACTTGAAAAGCGAATCAGTCCCTTCATTTAAGGACTTCCTTCATTCGATCTTTTAAAAAATGTCCCTTCTTTAAAGTGTGTCAGAATCAGTTTCAATCCCGTACCAGTCTGCGAATTGCAGCTGCAGAGCAATCAAATGGAAACAGGTGATCATCTGGAACTGGGGACAGCGAGAGAACGTAACAGCAGTACAACGTCACATGTGTAGGGAGGGAAACTAGTGAAGTGCAAATTCATCAAGATGGGGCTCGTCCCCAGACCAGTAGGAGTGGGAGTAGGGCAGTGGCGTGGGCTGTGTTTCCTTCAGGTATGCATGTAATGGCAGACAGTTCAGTGTGAATGGTACAGCAGATGATGGAGTCATCACAGATTGAGGGGTACACTGTTTTCCTAGACTTCCTTAGCTGTGTGGGGGTGCCGAGCAGGCTGAGGCAGGACATGGGACAGGGAGGAGAGGAGGACTGGGCACAAAGGAAGGGAGGAGAGTGCACCCTGACATCTGGACATTGGCTCACAGTCGGTTCCTCAAGCAGCCCTGATGTGTTTCTGTCTTTCTTTTGGTCTTCAGCTTGGCAGAAGGAATGTGATGGAGAAATACTCTACGTGCCTGGATTCTTCAATGAGTACTGTATGGGACTATTTTTCTGTCTTCGTCTTCTGGGTAAATGGTTCTGGGCTATTAAATGTTTGTTTGTCCTGGTGTGTGTGCAGTGATACTTCATAGTGGTTGTTTTCTAAATAGCACGCTAGAATAGAACTTCAGTTGTTGCACTCTGTCTTGTGCTGACCTCTGTGTGTGCCATGGGGGTCCGGCAGCCTGTGCAGGGAGAGGGGTCTGAGCACATTGCCAGTTCGTATAGGCGGCCACAGGACCTGCTTATGGGCACTACTGTGACTGGAACAGCAAAACTTTTAATTAGTGTCAGATCAAAGATGAAACCTCGCGAAACTTCAAATGCAGAATTAAGGATTCATGAAGACTTTGTCATCAATATTTTAAGTAGACTGGGTCTGTTTGATTTTGAGGTCAGTATTCTGAAATTTAATTTTAAGATCATTTTATCACTGTGCGCCACAATTTTGATTCCACAAATACCTACTAGTGATTGTGGCCCCTTCAGAGTTGTGAGGAATAGCTTTTATTTGCATAAATTACAAAAAAAACCCAGAATATTCGTCTTCATAATACTTAAGAAATAATTACATGTATTCTATTGGTTTAGTTATGTAGGCATATTATTGACAAATAAATGGATCGGTATTGATCAAAAACAGGTACTGTTCTTCTAAAAAGCTTATTGTAGTAACCTAAAGTAGACACACGGTAAAGTACAATATAGCAAAGTAAAACAAAGGTAAAAGCATGGTATAGCAACCACATTTAAGGGAAACAGAACATTTCTAGATCAAAATATTTTCTTCGGTTTTCCGTAGTACGACCAGTTTCCTTGACATTCTTCTCATACCCTGGAAGATGTTAACGCTTTCTCTCACCGCAGTTCTTTCGGTTTTTGTAATTGCTGGGGGACAAGGGTGTGTGTGTGCGTGTGTCTCATCTCGCCCAATAGGCGCATCTGGACGCCTCTCAGGTTTAAAGTTCCCACATCACCTCATACCGCAGGGTTGGCACTAGCGCGCCCCTCCCACCGCGACGGGAAGCCGGCCAGGTGCTCACGCCACCTGCGCGCTCTTTCTCAAACCTGCCAGTACAGTTTAGACAGCGAATGGATTAAGTGGCTGAGATTTAGATGCGGCGGTTTTCTACTTAGCGCCTACGCTTGGGGTTCAAAGCATTCTAGAGATCAGGAACTCTCGTGTATGATAGAGGAATTATTTTTAACTTAAACATTTATTTGTGATTTGCAAGCACTCGTCTACTTTACTTACGATTGTTCATTGCTAATTAAGTAATAGTGCAGTAGAAAATGATGAGCAAATTATACTTTCGCCATAGAATAGTTTAAATACAATAAGTAATTGCGTGTAGAAATTAATGCACTTGGTTTAATTTTTAAAATATTGTCGACATTTCAAAACAAAGGCGTTTTTCTGTTAAAAAAAAGTTTACATAAGTTAATAAGAAAGGGTCATACCATCCTGTTTGTTGACTGAAATGCAAATCAGAAGCGAGCTATTACTTGCCTTATTTGTGGTATTCGGGAGCGTTTCGGTAGTGTTTGCAGAGGACGATGTTATACGTTCCGAAACTGCGGGAGAAAGTCTAGATTTTTGCTACCTGATCCGCAGAAGTGCCTCTAGACCGGGGCACATGTATTACAGCTTCCTGAGACGGACTCACTTCGGCTCACTGCTGCTTTATCAGAGCACCTGGACCGAGGGCCAGCGGCTGGCGGATTGCGCTGCTAGCGGGGACAAGACTCTTACCGACAGCTACTGGTCTCTCTGCAGGGCAGAAGGCAGAAGCAACTTCTCCAGTATCCCCGATCCTCGCATCGATACTAGCCTTCTGTTTGGACCAGGCAGTCCGTGTGTGACAAAGCCTGTAATGGACGTTGGAGGGAATTCTGCTCAGCGAGCGAAGCGGGATCTGGAGACTTTAAAACAAGGGCACACGGCGGCTTCTTCACCAAGTGAAACGCCACGAAGGAAGAAACGAGGGTGGTTTATACCTGGGACTCTCTGGTGTGGCACCGGGACAAGTGCCGCGACCTATGGAGATTTAGGTAGGCTGCTATGTCGCTTTTATCTCCCTAGACACGTTAGAGAGGAGCTGAACGATAACACACTAACAATATTGCGGGGATACCCATTGTACAGGGGGTTGAACAACTAAGTTTTTACAACCCACAGGATATTGATCAAATTGTATCAATTATGCAAACAAATGATTTCAAGTAAAAACAAATTTTGTAGGGCTGCACAGTGGCTCAGTGGTTAGCGCCACTGGAGCCCTGGGTTCAATTCCAGATGTTGGGTGCTATCTGTGTGGAGTTTGTATGTTCTCCCCATGTTTGCGTGGGTTTCCTCCGGGTGCTACTGTATCCTCCCACAGTCCAAAGACATGCTGGGTGGTTAACTGGCTTCTGTAAAATTGCCCCTGCTGTGTGTGTGTGTGTGTGTGTGTGTCTGCTTGCTGTGTGATGGACTGGCGTCCTGTCCAGGATGTACCCTGCCTTGTGCCTGTTGCTTGCCAGGATAGACTGTGGCTCTCTGGCAAACCTGAATCGGATACAGTGGTTAGAAAATGATGGATGGATAAGTTTTGTTATCACATTTACTCAATGCAGCAAGCTCTCAATGTTAACTTTAAATAGTAAGGCTTTCTGGAGTTGTTAGCTAGAGCTGGACTTGCCAATTTGGCTGATATTGGTGTTAAAGCAACATATGGGTAGTAAAAGCAACAGAAAATGTATTTTGTTGCCATTTTAATGCACTCTTTCATCCATCCATTTTCTGTCTGTTTCATACTGTTTCTACATCCTATTTAGTACATATGAACTGAATACTGTATATTCACTTCATATATTCCCCTGGCACAGAATTACCGCTACATAAAATGCTACCACTGTCTAATTTGAGAGTTTAAACAGTCGTTCGCAGTGTATTCAGGATGGTTGAATTTTCTTCTCCAGTCTACTTTAAAGCTTACCCTATAACCTATTTAATAAGTTTTCCCAACCTTGGAACTGGAAGACCACATATCTGCTGGTTTTCATTCCTGCTGAGTTTAATTACCTAATTGAAGCCGTAAGTTCTTTGCTAAACTCAAAACTGAATTTTCCTTATGAGGTATGATAGGTAAAAGACCAACATGCACTAGAGTTGAAACAGTCAATCAGTGCTATTGAACTTTGAACTGAGTCATTTTAGGTTTCAATTGTGTAACTGAGAGCTCGGCTTCAACAAACAGCGACAGGTGTGCTGGCCATAAGGACCAGGACAGGGAGCCCCTGTTCTGGAGTACCATTCATCACCCAGCAGCTGAGCAGATGAGCGGAGAGCTAGCTCTGATGGGGGAGTGCTGCCTCTCTCACCTGTATGCCCGACCTGTTACTGGTTTCCACCCTACCGTGTGCGCCACGCCTTCTGCAAATCCAGCCACTGTCGGCTCGCGATACAACCCCAGTACAATCTAGCGACGCCTGGGTGAAAGAGCTCCAGCTGTACTCTGAGCAAGCGCAGGTTCCATCAAAGGGGTGGTTCAGACGCTCGAGAGCCCCAGTTTTCTGCTTTTCTGTCCTAGATTGTCAGGTGGCTCCCCTTGTGATTCTAAAAGTTACTGCAGCCTTACGACTGTGAAGCGCAGGTAGACTCAGCTTCAAGTGGTAGCAGTTTCAGTGAGTAAATAAACTGCGTGAAATAAACTAGTGTTCCTTCCATGTGTAAATAGATTATATGTGCAGTGTAGAGCGTTCCTTTTTACAGGAGTTCCAGAAGGACTGAGGTTACCTCATGCTTTTGACTGCCAGAAATTATACAGTATATGGGAACTAGGAAATACCTGATATTTGGACCCAAAATTGTCAATGCTATACTGTACATGCTGTATAACTGTATATACAGTATATACAAAATCTGCCCTTAAAATTCCATTATCACACTAGATGTCAAGTTTCCTAGTGTGGGTGATTGATGCGCTGTTGAACACAGAATGTTAGCCTTCCTTATTGGATCAGGTTGAAGGAATGTATTTAAAAGCATGACTGCTGATGTTCAGACAGATCCAAGCTAAACGTTTATTTATGACATCTAAAGTACTGTACTTCTGTACTTTTTGCCTCTGCAGTACGTACTGTAGGCATTTGCTCAAAGTGGCTGTTCCAATGTTACCAGAGATTCAAGCCATTGCCTTGTATAGGTATAAAATATGAACAGTAGGGAAACCTAATGTTTATTTGTGTTGTATTTATGTTAAGATCAGTTGAAAATGTGCAGTTCTCAATCAACCACATGCACATAGCACTCTCAAAAATAAGGTTTTCATTTTCCTGAGAGCTGTTCCTCCTCCACAGGAGTCTTCGAGGAAACTGACACGTGCTGTCGAGAGCATGACCAATGTGAGAACACAATATCCTCGTTCCAGATCAACTTCGGCGTCTTCAACCACAATCTCTTCACTGTATCGCACTGTGAGTGCGACCGAAGGTAAGGTGGTCTTTAAGATTTGAAATAAGCGGCCGGAAAGGACTTGAGGTTGAGCACATAAATGCCAGTCCAGTTGAAACTATTACTGATTTTATGCAGTACCTGACTAGACACAGCAGCGTTTGTAATCAGTGCAAATGGTCAAATTCTGCTGAATCAGAATTCAGAAGGGAGCTTTGCCAGCAAGACAAATCATTAACCTTTCAGTAGTCTTACATATTGTTAGTATGTGCTGTGTGAGGCTCAGTTTTCTTTCATCATGTGTAAATCAGCACTGCTTTTGGAAAGCACTGCTATTACTTTAGCAAGTCCTTGGTTGCCAGGTACCTTCCATTCAGCAGTTACTATACGTTACATTTCATGCAATGTTGCCTAATCAAGCAACAGTACTCTTCAAAAGTCGAGTCTTTCCTGGTCGACATTCACCTGATGTGGTCGTTCATTTTTACCTATGAAGAGTAAATTCAGGAAATGTTGTCAGAATCTGTTAATGCATTCGGTGCAGTCTGTGGACACTTAATTCTTTGGCCGTGTAAATGAATATAGTTGAGGTGTAGTACTATACCTTACTGTACTCACTTTCTCTCAGGTGTGAGATGCAAGGAAAAAGAATAACTGATTTCTGGCTCTTGTAAGTTACATATATTAAATTAAACATGATATCTTGTAGCATATGTGAACAAAGTATGAGAGGATAAAAGCTGTTGTCAGATTCTTAGTGGGAAGGGAGGTGAGATTAAGAGAGCGGGCGTGCACAGTCTCGTATTGTCCGGCTTCTCCTGTGTTCTTCCAGGTGTAGCTGAGTTGGGTTTTGTGCCTGAGGCTCAGCCCCAGTTTACAAAACACTGTATTGCACCTCAACCCCATCGGGGCAAACAGAGCTCCGGACTCTCTTCATAAATAAGGAGCTTTTCACCGCTAATTCAAGGTGGAATACGTGATTACTTGACAGGTCTTCAATGTGAATTCCATGATGTATGAACACTTCTCATACAGTGATAAATAGTTACAGTATAACTTTCTAAGGGCAGTATTAAAAAACACGAATGTTTGTTTTATTGGTATATGAAAGAACTCCATCAATTCCAAGTAAATCTTTGAATTAACACTGGAACAGTCCATTGTATTTGGGTGGCCCTATTTCACACCTGTGGTTTGTAATTAAGCAGAAAAAGTGTCTTGCCATATTAAATTAATTTTCTTTAAATAAAGAACAACCTTTAATGGGTATTCTGATGTTATGTTACTCAATAACAAACTAGTATAGATTTTAAGAGATGCGATGCAGCAGTGGTTCTTTTTGTAATCAAGATTAAAACAAATATTTTTCCAAGTTCATTTTCCCTACAAAATACCACCCATACTTTTGCTCTGAACACAGCAAACGTGTGCACGTGACCTGTTAAACACTAAAAGGAAACTGCACTTGAACTATGGGGGGTCATATCTACAGCATAGCCAAAACAAAGAAAAGGCACTGGAAATACCCTACCCACACGTTATCTGAGGCACTTTAAAATGTGACAGTGGAAATATTTCCTAACCCACCGCCTACCACAAGACTGGGCTGGTTTATAGTGCTGTACATGGAAAAAGTAGGCAAATCTCATGCCTTGTACTTCTAAAAGTGTCAAAAGCTTGTCTTCGTGGAGTTTTGTGGATCCAGCATGGAGGGTCTTTTGTTCAGTGCAACTTCGAGGCTGATTTAGGAAACTGCAAGCTTGGGTAGTGTTGGCACATGTGAGTCATATGTGAAATATGAAAAGAATTTGAGTGGTTACATAATGACTGTAGTGTAAATCATGGTCAGATTTCTGGTATATTCATCAGTTCATGTTCAGGAAGTAAAGATGTTTAACTGAATATGCTCTGTAAATAATCTGTTAATCTCTTGGAAAGATGCACAGATTATGTTAGGGAAATAAAATACAAATAAATAGAAATAAAAATAAAATAAATTTGGACTTAATTACTAAATTACTTATTTGGGTTCTGATCTCATGAGCGATGCTGCTGCTGTAGCCTTGAGCTAGTTCATTCTCTCAAATTACCCGAGCACAGTGGTTCTCAGTGCTGCTCCTGTGGGAGCACTATTCTGTTTGTTTTCATTCCAGCTGAGCCCTTAATCATCACTTTTCATGGATGCATGCATTTGATCCACTTGCTAGTCTTTCTTCTGCTCTTCATGCTTGGTTCCGGCCTACACCAATGTTTATAGGACATACGACAGGACAGACACACATTTATTAGCAAGACAATAACATACTGTAACTACATCACACTCAACATTAAATCATTACACATACTGTATGTACAAATCAGTCTCATGATCAACACATTAAAATCAACAGCCTACAGCCTACAGCCCCCCAAACACAGACTTTTTACCCTGTAAACTGAAATCACCCCACAACACCTTCACAGGCAATACAAAGAATACCCTGCATCCTACTAACTGGATATAACTCAGATCTAATTCTCCCTTCAATGTGGATGCTCCAAAGCAGATGGGAATTAATATTCCTATTCTAAACATATGTCATCAAATTAGGAGAGAACGTTTTTAGTCTGAGGATTTCACGGTACAAAAAGTGATCATTTTAAAAAATAAATAGAACAGCAAGTTTTATCTCCAAGACAGATCAGAACAAGGTCCTGTGGCTCATGTGGCAGAACTTTTTAATGAAGAGGAGGGTGATGGTGTCCCTTCTTCTCTCTGCGTCTTCTCAGTTTCTGTCTCCTTCTGTTTCTCTGTCTTTCCCTTTCTCTCTGTGCCTTTTTATACTGTGTTCTGTGGTTGTTGAAGGTTTTAATAATTTAACATGTCATGTCATAATAATGTCTCCAACAAGAGCAGAATTAGGTCAATACATGAAAAGGGTTAGTTCCACAAGTAATGTAAGTCTAATGGCTGTCAAAATAATACTGAACACATTTTGTGTGAAATTATAGATTGCTGTTTAAAACATTCACATATGTGAAACCTTTTAAAATATTTTCAGTACTTTATACAACAATTTATACCGTGTTTGTTAAATATGTTTTACTGTATACATGAAGATACCTTTACCTTCCACCCCCCTTGCAACTGAACACAAGGATTGTAATTGGCATTGTAATCTTCAGCACTGCTTACTTAGCTAGTTTTTTTAAAGTGAACATCTGGCATGTACATAAAATGCTGTCAATGTTATAATTTTAGGAATATTATTTTTATTTTTAATATAAATAAGGTTTGTGAATGGTAGCTTGTCCCAAGGTAGAATAAAAACCAATATGTTTCACTTTCCATATTATTTTTATGTGGACAGGCTGGAAAGAACACACTCATGCTTTCGTTTCTAAATTTGTAATGGCTTTTTCGTCTTGGGGAGTTTTTTTTAAATGAAAGTTTGCCAGCTACACACCCAAGTGACACATTTCAATTGGAAGCCTGTTCAGATTGGACTCCCGTGTATTTGATCTTTTCTCATGCTCTCTGCTCCTCGTCTCTGCAGGTTCAGGCAGTGCCTGCTGGGCGTGAACGACACTGTCTCCAACTTGGTGGGTTACGGCTTCTTCAATGTCCTGAAGGTCCCGTGCTTTGTGTTTGAGCCCAAGCTGCAGTGCGTCCAGATGTACTGGTGGGGCGGGTGAGTCAAAGACGCTCGTATGATGGAAATCTGTAGACAGTTTCTGTCTGCCCAGAACTGCAGTTTCCTGTTTACTGGTATCCTGTGAATGCAGGAACTTGGCTTAAGCCGAGAGGACAAGGATGATTGCAGACTGCAGGTGTCTTTTCGACCCATCTTCCTTTTCATTTTTGATTTGAGTAGATTATGGATCTTGGGACTTCATCTGAATTTTTCCTGAAAGATACTAGTGAATCACCTTTTCCATAATGGATTGATCGTACCAAACATCCACAAATGCTGGGGTCAGGCCTTTGGAGATCTATGGGATTAGAGTGGAACCCTATAGGAGGTGGAAGGATCTGTGGTCAAAAGGCCTGAGAACCGCTCAGGAGACAGATAGCCTGCTTGCTCCAAGTGCCTCCAGGACAGCCTTAACGTTTCCTCTGTTATTAAACTGCTCTATCAAAACAGGAGAAAAGAGCATCTAGGTTAATTTCGTGAAAATAACTCAGAATTGATATATTGAAAATATTTAACACTGCTCTAATAAAAGTACTTTCAAAAAGTGGAAGGAATCAAACCTGGCATAATACAGTAAATATATCTGAATAATGCAGAAAAAGCCCTCAACAATTCTATGACATCAAGCTCCAGTTTCAGTACTTGCTTTAACTTGTTTGGCGTTGGCTTGATGGAGTCCCTGTGGCTTCCCCTTAGACACCCCCTTGTTTCTCTCGACAACAGGCACAGCTGCCCCCTCTCTGGGTGGAAATCGTTCATCTGCAGTAATCTGTTACTCCTGGAGTGTCTGCACTTCATAGGTGTCTTATTGATATTAAGATATGGATGGCTATAACATAAACTGTTAAAAGCTATAGAACTGTTTTAGAAGCTACAATATGGTCATACGTAGGCTGTCATCAGCAGCTTCACAAAGTATGTAAAGTAATGTAAGATCTGCTGAATTAGGTCTTCTTTCTCTACCAAAGACATCATGGTCAAACATCTTGAATGCAAACCACATCTGTGGAGCTCACTGTTCAAATTCATTAGCTCCAGTGCAGTTATTCTTATACAGTAGGTCACCTGTTTTTAAAGATTAGATACTGATACAGTAATTCAGTCAAGTAATCGTTTTTAATAAACAGAACTCTGGTTCATGAGGTTTTATACAGTATTTCGATTTTAATCCCAAATGATCAATAAATTACTTAATGTAACAAATCTTCTGTTTAATTGATCACAATAGCAATCGTTCCATACCTTGATAAACTGGTGATGTAATGTAGACCTATGGAACCTGTTGGATAGGGGCTCTCCAGTAACAGGGCTGGAGGTCCCTACATTAGAGACCCTTTCAGATGATTCTCATTCATACAAAATGTTCAACAAGCTTCTAAACACTAATGACACTTTTATCAATTGGCAGGTGTAAGTCGTCAAAGATCGCCCCATTCGCCACCTTTCAGAAGTCGGTAGCGTACAATTCTACACACCCGGCGGAGGAGGAGCAGCACATGGGCTGGTGGCCGCAGGCCAGGGGGTCTGGTGTCCATGGCAACAGCACCAGCACACCAGCTCCCCCTGCAGGCAACACCACAACCGGCAAGCCGGCTGGCAGACCCCAGCCTGCCAGGAAATGCAGGCCGAAACACAGGCACAAGAGCAAAACCGTGGGCGACCTCAACGCGGTGACCGACAAAGAGCGAGGCGGCGCCCGGCCGAAGGGCAGCAAGCGGAGTAAGGCTGTCCAGCCGGAGCCGCCTCTCCCTGCGTGCGGGAGGCCGGGGAGACCGACGGCCGCCGCAGGCACCCCGTCGGCTCCGCGCGCGGATGACGCAGGAGGGTCTGCCCCCACCTCCACGCTCTCCAGCGGGGGCGGCTTGCCTTTGGAGCAGGGGTTCGAGAATGCCTTGCCTACTCTTAATCCCTGGGCTTCACCCAGCCACCCCCGGCCTGGAGGAGCTGCCCTCAATCACCCTGAACCAGTGCAAGATGTGAGAGAAAGACGTAAGTAGAGGAGATGGGAGGGAGTCTTTACTGCAACTCAGGAGAGTTAGGTTATGAGTAGATCTCACGAAGTGTATAATGCTGACAATTTTTCGTTCCTATAAAGTTTATTTAATAGGTGTCAGTGATTATATTAACAAATAACTGTAGTCCTCCGGGCTGTTAAGCACAGTTTCAGCAGATAACATTACACTGTACTGCCAATTCAAAGTCCTCCCATTCTGTTTGTGGTCCTCAACAAATGCGAAAAGTCCATGGTTATTTGGGTCTATTGGTTGTTGTGAACAAGAAGGATGCTGGCAGTAGGGACAGAGGTTCCTCCAGACAGTTCAGATGTAGCGCAGAGCCTCTGCTTCACCGCTGTCTCACTGTGGTGTTATCTTGAAGAAGCAGCTGAACTCGATTCTGTTCTGTCATTCAGATGACACAAAATGCTGAGGGCCTGCTTCTCTCTTCCGCATCACTTATTAATGTACAGTTATCCCCCTGCTTCATGCAGTCACTCATGGGAGCTAAATATTGCCATCCGTTCACTGCTTGAGAGTCTCTCAGTTTTTACAGCTTGGATTTTATGGTAGGATGTAAGTCTTTACTACTGTTATTCTTCACTAATACATACAGTACTGCATTTATACTGTACAGTACATAGCAAAATAGTCTAAACAAATAACCCCAATCAAAAATTCAAACAAACCTATGTAATTCTCTTTCAAAGTGGTAAACATCAATTATTTCTTGGAAATGTTTTTGCTGTGGTTACCTGTATTCCTAATGCAAATTCTCAATGTGTTACGTGTTACGACCTTCTTTATCAGGCTGTTATACGATATCTGATATACGAAGCCTGCTCCGGCAGAAGATGCCAGTGTTGTTCCTGCCGAATCAAAGACTCCAGGGAACTTCAGACAGGGAATACAATTAAGGGGCAATTTCCTAATTGATCTATCAATCTAGAATCTGTGTTCAATAAACTCTGAAAACATTGCTGATTACTATGTCCACTGCAGTATGAGAAATGTTAAATTAAAAGGATGAGAGAACAAAGCAGATTCAGATGAAGGGGGATGATAGTTCTGTTTGAGGTGGTATGCACCTTTAAAGAGACAGATTCAAAATGACTACAGAGATGCCTCTTGATCCCAGTTTGACAACATAAACTCATGCTTTTGGCTGCCCCTTCAGGAAAGCAGTAATTGAACAGTAAGCCTTATGTTATTTAAATTCCCAAGGTTACACACCTGAATTCCATACAAATATTTTACTAGGATGGACTCAGAATTCAGCCTGAAGTCAGTCTCCAGTATTAATCTATTTTAAGTGTCAAGCAGAAGAATTTTCCTACGGGCCATGAAAAGCTACAGTCACCCACTCTTAGATCTCACATGTCAGCAGCTGCAGCAGTTCAGCACTTTAAGATTCCTACAGAGTGGAGATTTTTACGGGTCAAATGAAAGTATGTCATGTTACAGCCCAACACATTGGGACTGTCATATGAGTAAAGTCTTATATACTGTACCTAACGGGAACCGCAACGCTACTTTTATATTCCCGGATTAGAAAGAATCGGCACCGATGAGTGCTGTTCAAACCACAATGAATCTAAAATGTACACAGTGACATGTAAAACCTCCAATATACATCACAAAACAGCTTAAATTTCCAGCTGTGTGCAGCCACCATGTACTGTAGTGCAATTTAGAACGATGCAACCAAATTTCTGATGACATGTGTGGCCCTACGACATTGTAAACAAGCAGGCTGGTGAATATATCTCTTTTAATCCAACAGAAATATAGCTCTTGACTTTGGGATAGTTTTGCCAACCATCAAATGTTCACATTGAAACATTTCTGCACTGAAATACCTGCTGCACAACATGTACATATTTGCTCGTACATCACATTAGAGTAGTCTTTACGGTGACTAGTGAGCAGGAGGGGCCACATCACGTCACAGTTCGAATGACCTCTCACTCTCGCCCGTGGCGAGACCGGGGATTTACCACAACACGGCGACCATGCAGTACTTTCAATAAAAATTAAATTAAAAATTAATTTGTCCTTAATTCTGAATTTGTAAAATTTCCTGATACCATCAATTCATTTATTTTGTCACCAAGATTTAATAACCATTCTGAGAAATGTGGACTGCAGTTCCCCTTCAAAACCACACAGACAATGTAATGTGACTATCCTGGACCTGCGTGTTTATTTAAGAACTTAAAAGAACAACATTTCTGAACAGAGAACAGCACAGAGTACTATAAGTGTAGTATTTTTTTTTTAATTAAGTAGATTTAGAAAACAGTAATGTCTTGGAAAATAAAGTATTGGATACTTTATATTCTGATCTGGAAAACAAGAAAATAGTTGCCTTGGTTCTTAATTGAATATCATTAGACTGTTTCCTATACTCTCTGTATCTGGAGATCCATAAAGCTTTCCAGACCCTCGTTTGAACCTTACACATGTTGCTTATGAAACTGTATTTAGGCTAATGCATAATTTACATTTTAGTTGGGCACTTTTTTTGGCACCAGTCCTTCTGGACATTAAATAGCAGAATCTTCCAAGGTTTGTTCCAAAGCACTTCTGTCTCCCCAGGTTAAAGAGACAGGAATCACATACTGTATTTGTTTGGATCAGTGGGATCCACACATGCCCTTACTCTGGAAGGGTCCAGAGATGTGAGGGTGGATGTGAATCATAATTCTTGAAATTGTTGAAATGCATGTATAAAATCAGGTGATGCAGATGAGCGACCAATCGCTGGGATGCTAAAAAGCAGTCACAGTAGCTTCACTCTTCTTTTTTAAGAACTTTTTGTCCCAGTGGTAACAGACTTTTTAAAAATTATTCTACAGGTAAGTGGCAGAGCTGCAACTGCTACAAGCATCTGGACCAGTGCAAGTATAAAATTGGCCCCCAGGAAGTGAAATTCAGCCTGAAAAATCCGGAGCCAAAGACACTCTACCACTGCAACTGCACTCGCAGGTGAGAGCCATGCGCTTGCTCCCAGAGCTGCAGGAACGAAGTGTTTGGATCTTGCTGTCTGATAGAGTTAGTACCGCAAGAGCCTGAAGTCACTCTTCAGCAGTGTGTGTAATGTAATGAGGGAAAATGACTCACTGCTGCCTGAGGAAAAAATAGTTTTACATAACCATTGTTATGCGTAATTTTACATAAGTGTAAGATTAACTTGATTGTAATTGGAATATATAACCTGACAACTACATTCATTTTCTTCACAAGTGAGTGAACCTCCTCCCAATTTACAGAATGAAAATAAGAGGAAATAATCTCTCAGCCCTCAATTCTTAGCAATGGAAAAACAAACCTGATCCCTATGTAGTGCTCAATTGATCAAATTGCCTGACAAGTTAAAATTAATGTGCTTTCAGAAAGCAAGCAGGAATACAGTATATCTTTTGGACCTCCATAGGTTTCTTTTTCTCTTTATGGAGATTGTTTTTCACTCGGCACAGAATCCATACAAGCAAACCTAGAACTCTGCCCTTAATCAGCACTGGCCAGAACTCCTTTTATGATGTTAGAAGGAAGCAGAGCAGCAAGGTTGGCCTTTCAGCCTATGTCGGCATAACGTTTTGTCCAGTATGTGCTAAGAGTGTATCCCTTGCGCTTTTCCAGGATGGCCAGACGGGTGGGCAGGCTGTCAGAGTGGAACGCGGTGGAGTCTCTGCTGTCTGACTATGTCGCCATGTCCTGTTTCCAGCTACAACAGACTGAAAATTGCATGAAGCAGGAAGGGTCAGTTTATGTCTAGACAACTTTTAAGAATGTGTCCTCTAGAGCGATGGTACATGGCCCAGTAAATATTTGAATTTTTAAAATGCCAAATAAATAATGGCACTGCTCTAACGCTTCATCCAGAGCCTGGTGGCACACCCCGCTGTGCTAACCCAAAGCAGCTCCTCCCTCTCCCGCGTTGCTACGATAGGCAGTGGCCTTAGTCCAAGATGCCCATTGGGCTATCTGTCTTGGCGCAATATTATTTGGTTATATCATGAGAGTGGTATCGATACATGCCATTCAATGGTCAGCACACCTGGTGTTCAGTGCCCTCAGTCCACGGTGCACAGAGGACTTTTTGATCACTTTTTGCTTTCTGGTGCTCTCAACAGTGGGCTTTTTCACTACACAGATTTTGGGCTTGGTGCACAGGGCACGGGCAAATGTATCTTTCTTTTCTCCAGTCCTAACCCAGATACATGTGTACCTTCCCCCTATACAGGTATGTAGAAGCTAACTAAAGTAACATTCTGGCACCTGGCCTGTCGCTGATGATTCTGGGCTGTTTCCCTGTGAACTGCAGGTGCGTGGCTGTGCTGTCACGGGCGACACACCTGAAGCGTGTGCTGAAAGATCGCAGGACGATCACCGGGGGAGCTCCCAAAGTGAAGAGACGGAGCGCAAGACCAGCGAAGAGCAAAGCCATTCCTCGGAGACTGTACAGCAGATGTCTGAGGATCATCGACTCCAAGAAGCTCCGAGAATGACCAGACTGGCTTCCCTTCAGAGACTTGCTATTTCTTTTAAGTGTACATCAGTGTTTATATACAAAAAGAGTTTATTGTTCTAAACAAATGTGCTATGGCTAATGAAGACTACCATTAAAGTTGAACAGGACGTTTATTCTCCAAAACTGACAGAAGTGTATTCTAATATCACAGCCACCAAATTATTCAGTTTCTTGTTTGCCTATGACAATGCATTTTGGGCTACCAATATAAAAATGCTATTAAAAACACTGTAAAATAAGACAAACTGTTACTGTACCTATTGATACTGTATACATTTATTTTTGTAATTTAATTATTTCTATTAATACTAAAAAGCTGTTAATAAATGTTTCTTAATGGTATATAAACTTGTGTGTACAGTATATGGACAGAGGTAGTATCAGAAAACATTTTGTAAGATGTAAAAGAGATAAAAACATCATTACTGAAGTAGAAGGACATATATTTGTAAACTGTCTCTCCAAAGGAAATAGACATCCACTGGCTCAAGACCTTGGAGGACGACATGATGGAGACCTCCCTGAAGAGGTGCCTGTCCACTGCGGATCTGGCCCTGCTGGGTGTTGGGGGAATGGTGGGCTCGGGTCAGTACATCCTGACTGGCACTGTGGCCAAAGATACTGCCGGGCCGGCTGTGGTCATCTCCTTCCTCATTGGTGTTTGGTGCCCAAGTGCGAAAGCCAGGGTCAGCTTACATGTTACAGATATGGGCCTTTTTGATTGGCAGGAACGTGGTTTTAGAGTACATGATTGGTGGAGCCATTGTGGTACGGGCCTGGAGTGGCTACCTGGACTCCATTTCCAATCACAGCATTAAGAACTTCACAGAGACCCATATTGTGCGCTGGGGCGTGCCCTTCATCGCCCACTATCCTGACCACTTGGCAGCTGGCATTCTCCTTGTGGGCCACCTGCTTCATCTCCTTTGGCGCCAACGTCTCCTCGCGGCTCAACCACATTTTCTTGGCCATTTGTGGGTGTGTGGGTCTCTCTCGCAACAATTTCACTTCTTGTATATGAGGTTGCGGGTGGCTAATCACAAACTCCGTTTCCTGATCTTACCTTTTTAATAAGATAATGTCTCCATACACGAAAGTAGAACATACAATAAACATGAAGTCCATGAAGCTATCCGAACGATGTCTCTCCTAACCCCAGGGCAATCTTCGAAGCTTCCCGGTGTGGAAAAAATCGAATTAATTTTTACCTTTTTAAACAACAGCGCGAACCAAGATACGGTATGTTCCTTTAGAAGAAGTAGGGTATATTTTCCTTTTCACACTTTTTCCACACGATGGCAGTATTTAATAAGAAATGCGATGGTCTCTTTTGCAGAATACTGATGTTTAATACCAACGGCTTTTATTTTGTCTGCAATCGAGTCTCGTTACAATGTAGAGCATTGAATTCAAAACAGTATGTGAGAACCCCTGGTGCAATTTATTGTTATTGTGATACACAAAATGTTTATTTACAGATTTTAAACCGCTTATTGTTGCTAATCTCATCATGTGGTGTCCATGTTCCATCGATGCAAAATGAAACAGCTGAAGGTTTAACATAGATGTCACTACGCCGTTTGAGGTTAATTCTAGAGGTTACATTGTTTTTACACCAGGACTGATATGTAAAAGTAACGAAGAAAACAAATTGCAATTAAAGTACACAGAGGGGACTGATCTGGTAAAAGTCTCTAATAAACAATCTTATAAGTACATTTCATGAGTATTTATAAATGTAATAATTATAATTAGTCTAAAAGTAAAAAGTAAGCAAACACTTAGCACAAACTGTTTTGCTTATTTTGCTTTGATATACTTTATTTTGCCTGGATATGTTTGATTTTTTTTCTGCCTGTGCTTCAAATTTAATTTTGGCTTTCCTTCCACAAAAGAGACTACTGTAAGTATCGTTAATACTGTAGCTCCAGTGCAATCAGATTACTTATTTTCCTCTTTTTATATTATAAATGTACCTTATTGAATATAACATGATGGCAGAGAAAAGATTGATGTTTGATTGGGGTCAATTTGAGGGATAGTGATTTGTCTGTACATATTATTCTCAGCACATGTGAATGTATGTAGACTTTCTCAAATTGAAAGAAAGCTTTTTAGTCATTCTTCACCTATTACATTTTGAGGATGTAATAGTATCCTTATGTTTCCTTAGCTGCACTGTAATGCCTCCAGAGAAACGATAGTGTTAGAGATGATTTTTTTGTGATATTATAGTGCTTACCACGATCCCTTTAATCCTGGATGGCTTTAAGCACCTGCCATACTCTTATGATGACAGATCAGTTGCTATGGCAAGAGAGTCAAACAGACCCATTTATAATCCCTGCTAGTTAAAAGCCTTTCTGTGATCCAGTTGTTTTTCGTCTCCTGATTGTATAATACAGCTTCCCCTAATTACTGAACAAGCTAATTACTGTTTCATCTCCTTTGTTTAACTAAAGTTTGCCCATCAACTTGAGAAAGGTTCAGATTTTAAAGATGTAGCGGATTGTGTACAGTATGTTTGGATTTGATTCATTTTTATAAAATATTGGTTTTGAGTCAGTGGACTGAATGTTGGAAAGTAAAGACTCAGTTTAGGGCTGTGTGACACAAGAAGTATAGTAGAGCACAGACAGTGGATGACAGATTATGCAGATTATGGCATTACAATGCAGAATTTGACCTTAGTCACCCATGAGGAATTACTAAGACTTGAATCACCACAGAACAGTTTTAGTCTAATGATATGAAGACATGAGGAAGTGTCCTTACGATAGAAGTTTTTGATCTAGTTTGTCAGAGGTCAATCCTGGAAAATTCTGCTGAAATCTTCTTTTAATTTACAAGCCTCCCCCCCCACACACACACACACATCAACACAAAAAATCAATTGCCCTGAAACTCAGTCTTTGAAGTCTCGTGTCAGCTTTCACTGCCTGACCTTGTGCAGGGCTTACAAACTATAACCTATCATTGCAAGAAGGGGATGAGTTTTTAATCACTGTTCTGTCAGATGTCTCCATTAATTAGAATCCCTGTAAGGCTAATTCAAAGCAAGCTGCTGCTTCTCCATGTGCTGCTCTCCTGCCTATCTCAAAAGCACATACTGTATATGCACTTTTTTCACACCCTGGCACTTACCCCTGCAAAACATGGCTTCAGTTTGTGCTATAGAAATTACTTTATGTACTTTATGTAGATGTTCATATATTATTTAATAAACCTCTATTTGTTGAATTAACAAACTTTTTTCTCTCTTACACTTTAGAATTCAGGAAACGACACATTCATAACGCAGCTTGATAAGCGGGAGGTATCTCATTTAATACAATATTTTTAAGATATGTTTTTACATAATACCTAACTGTGTCTGTGAATGATCACAGAATGTATGAAGTATTGAACTAGATAAAAAAGGCCAGGCCTGTTCCATACTAAGATAGGGGATCTCTAAGAAACACAAGTGGTGTTGTGGAGCACAAAAACATTGCCAATACCTCATTTATTGACAGCGGACGTTATGCTGTAGGTCAGATATACAGAAATCCTAATTACTTAGTCATTAAAGATCCCATGGAACATAGCTTAAGAGTAAGAATGTTTAACTCCTGTGACCTAGCTCAATTTCATTTGATCTTGCATCATATGGCATCCCTAAATATCCCACTTAATTCAACTGGCTAAATCATTTCTCGCCTCTCCACCTGAGCTGCCGCTGTGTACGGGTGCGTCATGGACGCCGCGCAAGGCGCAGCGGTTCAGTGGCGAACCAAGTCTCCTTCTGTAGGTGCAAGTTTTTAAAACGAACCTCGCTGTTTCCCTGCAAAGAAAACATGATTCACTCGCGAAGATCACATTTCCAAATGGAGTGGTTCCTGAACTTTGCCAAATGAGAAGTCGAACCTTCAGCCATCTTGGTTCAAACTCGTGTTGTTTCTCAACACCTTAAAGGTAAAGCTACAGTGAAGGGACTACGTATCCATTTACATACTGAACTGTATACAGTAGCTTGTGTGTCTGATGCCAGACGTGATATTTTCATTTAAGAATTAGTTTATTATGCTTTATCTTTCTTTTATAGGCAGACAGGCACTGGGCAGCGTTGATATTTAATTCAAACTTTAAACGGACAAAGCAATTCAAAATAATGCACTTAGACAATTAAATTGTGTATTTCGCCCGAGTGATGTTGACCGACCAGTTTTTAGAAATCGTCAGCCGTTATTACAAGGCTGACAACCGAGAAAGCCTGAAGCTGAAAATGCTTATACATTTAGGACATAAACTAGTATTTTTTTTTGTTTCGAGTTTTACCAAAGGAAAAAAATAACAGATTTCGTGAAAAGAAGATCTGTCCTGTGTAACTTTCAGCCTACTCAACATGTCAAAGCATGGAGAGAGTACCGGTCGATTATTTTATATCTCAATGTGAGCAAGGCGCAAAGGAATGCCTCTGGAAATACAAACCTTAAGGGTCATAAAGGATATTTTCTAGGTGTTATTACTATTAAAATACAACTCTTACCGTTTTAATTATTCAATAAGACCTTACTTGAGTCCTGATGATAGACGCTGTGCAGTTGCTCTTATGTGTAAACAAGTATGCTGTTAAAAATGAACATCCAGGGGAGCCAGTTTAGCTTCTAAGATAAAATAGTTTTGCTTTACACCGCATACGCACTCTATAGCACAGGTTTTCTTACAATGTGCAGAAAGAACAAAGAAGAGAGAGAAATTAGCCTGGTTGGTTATTTTCCCAGAAGCTTAAAAACACATGGTGCATTCACAGCCTGTTCTCCGGCATCATGGGACCCTGTGCTGCCTCCATAGTGTTTGCTATACTGTATATGGAGCTTTCCACTGCAATGTGGGGTAGATTGGGTTGTATCAATCCCAGCTATTTGCTCCATTTCAATTTGGGGTTGACAGTGAGGCTTGGACTGATACCGCTGAGATGGTCAAATGCGTACTGCACAGTGCTTGTCATCTGTCTGCTTCTTGGTTATGGGCCTGTGGTTTGTAATTTGGACGGGGTATAGCAAAGACTGGGAGGTGCGGGAGATTTTTTTATTCTATACTTTTGTTTTGGTTTTGAACATTTTTTAATACACTGTATAGGATGGTTGAATATCGGTGATGGACTGACGTCCCATCTGGGTTGTATCCACCTTGTGCCCGATGACCAGCCTGTGCTGGATATAGTGGTTAGGAAGTGCGTGGATGGGTGGTTGAAGTTGACACTAGTCATTTCCTTTATTCATCACTTCATCACTGTATTGCTGTTTATCGATCCATCATTTCTACCTCACCAGGGTGGCTCAGGATTCAAGGCCTGTCCATTTCCAGGAACATAATGCACACACCACACACACATTCACATACTGTAGAAGGGGCACAATTTGAAGCTACTGACGTTCATATCCTTAGCTTTTGTAAAATGGGCACAGTGTTGAGCATTGCTGCCTCACAGCACTGGGACCCTGGGTTCACGTCCAGATCTGGGGTGCTGTCTGTATGGAGTTTGTATGTTCTCCCTTCATGTGTGTTCATGTGGGTTTCCTCCCACTGCCGAAAGACATACTTATAGGTTCATCAGCTTCTGGGAAAATTGCCCCTGGAGTGAGTGTGTGCGTGTTTGTGCCTGCGTGTGTCCTCCGTTGGACTGGCATTCTGTCTAGGGTGTACCCCGCCTTCTGCCCACTGCGTGCCAGAACGGGCTCCAGCTCCCCCACAACCCTGAAGTGGAAGAGGGGGCTAGAGAATGGATGGAAATGAATTACACATTGCAACAACATAGAAGAGACACAATTTGTCTTTTTTTAATTGATCATATGCAGTTCTACGTCCATATTTTAGAATGTTTTTCCTAACTTATATTTTTAGGAGTTTTCTCAGAATGTGAACTGTACACTGTGCTTGTAAATAGAGGTTATTTACAACCTATTAAGTCTTTTTTGTTTATAATCATAGAGATTTTGTTTTTCATTTCTGTAATATTTAATTCTTTGGCAGATTCCTCTGGCAGTTCTGTTGATGGTGTTTCGCTCTCTCTCACTTCTCTCACAAACAAGTATGGTAATGAAATGACTTTGGTTCAAAGACGTTGACTTCTGCTGCCACCCCGACTCACAAGCTGGTCCGCAAACCAACACTGGTTTAATGGACGTTTTTCACTTTAGTGAAAAAATAAATTAAAAAAGTTTCTGCAAACTCAATGCCAGCAAAGTACAGATTCTAAAATAGGGGAGGAGACAGGAGGATTAAAATAGAGAGAAATAGATTTACAATTACAATTTGAAAACAGACCAGAAGAGTGTTTAAATCCTGTTATCGATTGTCACAGAGGATGTTGTTCAATGAGAGGGTGTCAGAACATAAATAACTATTCTTGCTTTTGTAACCCAGCTCTTGTTCAGCCTCCACGGGCCCGTCAGGTATTGATCTGGGTTGGACTTTTTTGTGTTGATGTGACAGCTCCACGTTATTCTGTCCAGCTTCGAGACAGGGATAGGGGAATATTTCACTCTCAACAGTGCCGGGAACGTGTTACATCCGACACTTCTGATCGGAAAAGGGATCCCGATATCCAGTGGGTGTAAGATCACTCCCCCCTAGGGGGTAGGTTAGGCTTCTGGGACTCCTGGCCTGGCAGTTTGTCAAGGCCTGCAGACACTGTGAGAAGCCTGCATGCTGACAGGCCATCTGTCAGGGAGAAGGCGATATCATGGCCAGTCACCTCTATTTTCAAGTTCCTAGGAACAGCTTAATAAGGACTAAATCAAAGACACTTACCTCCGATTCAGTTCATGTTCCAAATCCTGTTCTTCCAGGGCTGATTTTCCAGGATGAATATGCCCTCTGGCTATTTTTCAGTATTCTGCTCAAAGGTCAAACCCAAAAACTGATGGCAAAGCCATTTTCAAGTTTATTTCCCAGGTCTGTCCATGAGGATGAGCCCCTTACCGACTGTGGCAGGGCTACATTTGGTACTTGGGGCTGCATAGTAGAACGATAGTGGAAAGATATAAAGTGACAGTATTAGCTGGTAAAATGATAACAGCTGAGCAGGTGAAAGGGATTAAGTGGCAAATTGCATGCCTCTGTCTTGGCCTTTCAAGCCAGTGTAAGAACACCATCATACAATCTTCATGGGGCCAGAAAATGTAATAGTAGGAGCCTGTAAATTGATTAAAAATGTCACCTAAACATAGGAAAAACATGTACTGTGAATTCTGGGTGATAGAGAAGCATAAATGTTGAATATGAAAATAGAAACACACCTTAAGCATGCAGGTGAGAACAGACTGTATCTTTGTGTGAGGGTTTCTTCCAGGTTATTGCAGTCAGCTTGGCAGGTGCTGTCCACCATCAGAACATTTACATACTGTATGTATTTTCTGATATGCCACATTGTCAACTACAGTGGCTATCAAAAGTATTCACCCCACTTAGACTTTTTCCACATTTAACTGTGTTACAATATAGAACCACAATGTATTCTTTGCCATTGACCGACACAAAACAACCTATAATGTCAAAGTGAAAACAAAATTCTGTTCTTATTTTGATGGACATTATATATTAGGCACATTCTTTTCTTTTTGTTTTAGGAACTACAGAAGTGCATTGCTGCCATTAAAGAAAAGAAATGTCATACTTATCTATATGTATTTTTTCTTGTTACCTGTTCTCATTGGTGGTTGCCTTGTGCTCTCTGGTTGTCGTGATCTTTTACATTGTAATTAACTGTTACCACTAAATTATATATTATATAAAGAGGTTAAAGGAAACCTGCAGGACGAAATGCTAGATTCATGCATATTGTACATTTCCAGACCTATGTTATTCCTTTTCATTTTCTGTCAGTTTATATTTAAGTAATCGGAAGTATTTGACAAAAAGGAAGCTAGGAAGAAAAACTTTGGTCCTCCAGGACACGGGTTTAATATTTTTCTTGGGAAGACAGGAATAGTTCCAAACGAGGAGACCATTCAGCCGTTCTGTCTCGTTCGTTAAAAGCTAATCGACCACAGCACCTCACCCAGTCGTTTCTTGTAATAAATCAGCATATCGGCTTCGACAAATGTTGCTTTTCAAAAACCGAATATCTACGGAAGCCCTCTGTTGCAATAAATGTAAAATATTGTCGAACCGTGGAAATTTCCGCCGTCCCAAGTCAATTACATCAAAAACTGCGAACTGCGGAATGCGTGTTTTGGGAGTCTTTGAGTTTTCTTTTTGCAATGTTAAGAATGAACTGCAGGTGGCAGCGAACACCACGATATACATTTCACTGACGACTCAAAATTTCATTGCAAATCTCTCCCGGCCACACAGACTGTCATTGCCTCTCTGAGATACGAAACACCTCAGTAGTATTATTGCCTGTCAGCAGTTCAGAAAATTACTGTTATTAATGGTAAGTGGTAATACTCTGAAAAATACTGCATTATTAATGCCTCTCCAGACACAACCCATCTATTAAAGAAAAAGATCATCAGCTTAACAATTTTGTCCTTGTAATGTGAGTTACTGTCCGAGTTATATATAAATAAATGTGTACACATATTTGTGATTGACTAAATCTCTCCTATTTGCGTATTTGCTGTCTCGCCCGTGTATGATCAACAACCTGGTGGCCTTTGTTTATGCAAATTCTTTATCATATTAACTCATTTAGTAAATGAAATATCTTGACTGATATAGTGCTTTAGAATGTCTATAGTAGATACATTGTAGATACTTCTTACAAGACGTTTTATTTCAGTTTTTTTTATGGGAAAGAAACAACATAAAGTTGTAAAGTCTCATGTCTTCAATGAAACTTTTTTCAGTTGTCTCTATAGGCAGTTTAATGTTTTTTTATGATTTTGAAAGATTTACTTGATTTGCTCTTTTTTATAAAAAGTGCAGTGAATTTTGAATGGCAGAAAGTGATTTATGAACATTGCTCAGGGTATTTCTTGTTTGCTTTGTAGTGAAAAACAGCCAGTTACTTTACAAATCACACTTTGGCTGTGTTAGGTCGGTAAATTCCTTTGCATCAATTGATCTTTACTGTCTAGTGTTAAAGCTTTATTAGTAATCAAAAACAGAATCTTTCTTGAAGTTTGGGTTTGTAGATTATTTGTAATATGTTTGGAGTCATGACTACCTTTTGAAGCTGGAAAGGTCAGTATGTACAGTATGGCCAGGGTAAGGACAGAATTATATTCCTGTTACTATTTGTGTGTTTTCTATGCCATTATTTTAAGTTCTCTTGTATCCTTATTTTTAGACCTATTTTCCCCTAAAAGAAAAGAAACACTTCAAAAACTTAAATTTAGACCACTGATTTTTTTTATCTATTTGCACGACTATGAAATAATTTCCACACAAGCAATTAAATCCTGTTTTTATAGGTCTAGGAGATTGTTTCTGCCACTTACTTATGATTGTTTTTTACAATGAGCAAAACAAAGCTGTGTGGCTTCAATTCTTACACATAATAGGGTGATACAAGCAGAATAGAGGTACATGTGAAAAATGTGTTTTAACATTACTGCTGTTTCTTAAAATTCTTTTTTGTAGTAGACTTCCCAGCTCCCTTTGGAAGCTGTGGTTTCATGTTTCCATAATGCTGTTCAAGTTTGGAAGAAGAATGTTTTGCTCTACAACATGTTTCCATCAGGGAACATTTGAACATTGGAAAATACGCATAAAACGCAAAAGCACATACTGTACAAGTATGAGAGGAAATCTTGTTTAATATTTTTAAAAACAGTGTGTTTTAACACCACACGCACCTAATGACCTGATTGATATTTAGTTCAGTGTTACTAACCTAACAGGACCCATGATCTGAAAATTCCAAATGAAGGTTACATTGTGGCCTCTGCTTTGTTGTAGTGTTTACTGCATGAATGATACTAGATTCATGCTTATGGCACATTTCAAGTCCAGTGTTTTTCAGTTTCATTACCTATCAGTTCATTTTTTTCCACTGAGGAGAGGTCTGTGCTCTGATGGCCATCTCTTTAGTCTCTTTGCAGGAGCAAAGATTTGAACACGCAGACCTTCAGCCTAGAAGCATGCAGCCGTGTGTATGGTTATTGTAATCAATCGTAAAGATCCTGAGGCAAATCAAGTCATGTAGTAGTTAGGAATTCTGAATTAAGGAGTTGGAGGGGAAAAATAATTGCGTCCTCTAAATGGGAAATACAGTTCTGGCCTGAGGTGCGCCTACATTGAGGAGACGTTTATGGGGCACCCCAGTTGGCACAGAAGCTGGCAGGCTGGGAGACCTGGTGTTAGTCCAAGGCCCACGGGGCACTCTGGGCACAGCCAGTAAACTGCAGAAGGTTTACATCACAAAGCCACAGAGGCATACTGTAATGAACTCCAGGTGCCAAGGGTTATGTCCCTGTGCCAAGGAAAGCCTATAAACGCCTCAATAAAACTGCGTTTTGCACTGAGGGATTGCAACGCAAAACCAAAAGAATTTTATTTTCAGGTTTTTTTTATTTCTGGTCTGGAAAAAATAATGTCAAGCAAATAAGCTACAGTTTTCCATAGAACAAACATGAAGGAGCCTTTACTATATGGGAATAACAAAGAGCAAGAGTGAGGAGCGGTGCAGATTGGCAGCTCGTTCTGATACAAAGGCAGTGTGGTCTGGAGAGCGAGGCAGGCAGCTTGAGTTTTATACAGTAGCTAGGGATGAGGGACCAGGGCAGCACAGTGGCACAGTGTTTAGCACTGCTGCCAGGGTTCAATTCCAGACCTGGGGTGCTATCTGTGTGGTGTTGGTATCTTCGCAACCATGTTTGTGTTGGTTTCCTCCCACATTCCAAAAATCATTCTGGTGGGTGAACTGGCTTCTGGAAGATTGGCTCTGGTGTCACTGTATGCATGTCTGCGTGTGACCTGTGATGGACAGGCATCCCGTCCAGAGTTTTCCCTGCCCTGTGCCTGCTGCTTGCTGGGATAGACTCTGGCTCCCCCATGACCCTAAATGGGATGAAGCAGTTAGAAAATGGATGGACGGCATAAGCATTGTTGTGTCCTGATCTTGTATTTCTTCCGTATTGCATGCAATGCTCCAAAACCGCCTGTAAGGACGTGTTAAGTGAAGGAACTGGAGCGTGTCCTTCAACAAAGCTTTGTGTAGAACAGTTATTTGTGGGATTTTATTGGAAGAGTCAATTGTCAAGGCAAATTACAGCCTAGGCACTGACTCCAGCAAACTGTATGTGCTGGAGTAGGCAACAACAATTAAGGAAAGCAATAAAAGGAGAATAAAAAGATTGTGGGGACTAATCCTTAAATGAGAGTTTACCCAGGCTCAGATAAAGCACTTGATGACATTGCTTAGGGAGCTCTTTTCCCATGCCTGTGCATCGCTGGAATTTACTGACAGCGAAATGACTCCCCATTGGCAGAAAGCCTTATCTGGAGTCTTAGGGCCTACACAGCATCCACTCCAGATAACTCAACTGCAACAGGAGACTCACTGCCCGGATTCTGAAATGGGGGAGCACACACTAATACCTGTGGATCTACGAGAAAAAGAAGCGTCTTTTTGGTGGCAGATGTGCTGTCAAGCCACTGTGGAAAACGAATGCATAACCTATGGTTTTAGAGTGTGTTTACCACACTGCTGCTTAGCAAGGCTGGCATTCTTTTTAGATAACTTAAATCCTTAAGGAGTGTAACACAGATTAACCAAACATTTATATGAATAAATGTTCTGCAGCTGACATTATTAGCCAGTCAGCTTACAGATAAACACATTATTTAAAGCCCTTATTAATGAAGGTTGTGTTTACCTCACTTTATTTTTAAAGATAATATTATAGATTTAGGATTTTTTACTTTAAGGCTAGGATTACAGTAGGCTAGTGTGGTGATTAAAATCATGGATATTGTGATATTTCCCTATGAACTCCAATTTTGATGAATATAGTCATTTTTTAATATTATAAAGTCAGGTCAAACATGCATGTTGTGTAAGTTCTATTACACAGCAGAGAATAAGTTACACTTCATAATTTTGCTTTTTCTTTACCATTTGAAATCTGGAATAGTGTGTATTCCCTGAGCGTTTAAAATGGCAGGAGTGAGCTTGGCATTGGTGACAGTGTCTTACTGAGGAGGTAGGTTGTGTTAGACTTGAGTGGGTCTATGTGATTACTGACTGATAAGATGGCAACACCAGTCTCCAAGAGGTTGCTAGGAGGTCAAAGGTCACTTCCTGTGGCTCCTGGTTAGATAGGGGGAACCTGATCATAGTCTTTTGAGGTCTGGCTGCAATTAACTGTGGTCAATTATGGCACACTTGTCTGACACTCCATAAAAATGCCGACATTAGCTGCCTTTTCAAAGACCTAAGCTTAGTTGACTTGTTCATATTGTATTCAGCTCTTGGGGTTTCATCATACCTTCCTCATGTTGCTGGGGTGTCCATGCAAAATCATAAAGTTATTTTGGGTCAAAGTGAAGCTGACATGGTCATTCAGCACACTGCAATTAGCATTACTGTGCATCACTAAAGACAAGACCCTTCAACAAGACAATTATCAGTTTGGGAACCTTAAGTATATGACTGAAAATGGCTGGTGGATTACAGTTTACTTCTAACTAACAGAGTACAAATGAATCAAGTAGCTGTCTCTTACTTGGTGAGCAGATCCAATCTAGATTTGGGAATGCCTGACATTACCATTAGGTGGCAGCAAAAAGTAAAACTAGAATACCCTTAACATAAGATTGCAAGTGATCTCTAATGTTCAACAAAGCAGCTATTTCTAAGCCTTTTCTTTCTAAAGTCAGCCTTGATGGCTCAATCTACCAACAGGGTGACAATGCAGTTTTACACACGATTCAAAGGCAGTGCAGTTATTTTTTTTTACTACTTTTTTGACCTTTGCTGGTTAATTTGTCTCGGTGTCCGACAGGCTCCCGAATCCCTGCTTGAATGCTGAATGGCCGGACATTCCTCCAGGTGACCGCAAGGTCCATAAGAGCATCGGGATTTCAGATCCTAAGCAGGTCTGTGACTGACCCTTGATCTGTGACCTTTGCCCCTGCTGCATACACTCTGCTTGGTAAGTGGGCTGCACCTGAGGAACCTGATTGTTTTTTTTTCAAGACAATTGCACACCACCCTTCTCTGGAACTGGCGTTACACACCAGGGGAGGGAATTGTGTGGTGTTTTCTCTGTCATCTATTAATGCACTAAATATTGTTGGATGTTGCATTAATTAAATATTGCTTTTTAAAAGCATGCACAAGATATTTTCAAGAGCAGTAACCCTAAACTTGATCCACCTTATGCTGGAATGATGTGGTAGTCTATTTTTACAAGTACTGTCAGCATATTTTTGGTTAGGGATTGTAATCGAAATTGAGTTTTCCTGGAATTCATTACATTGAGACTTGGAACTTGAACTAGAAAAACTATTACAAATAGCACAACCTTTGTTCCAATTAGGGTATTTTTGAAAAAACAGTAACATTTTATTTCATACTACTACACTGAGATTGTTGTTCCTTTTTAGTATATCCAAGAGCAGTCACTTTTCTGTTCAGAAATAAGTATTTTCTATTTTCCAGAGTCTATGAGCCACTCTCACCATTGTAGTATACAAAGTACAAAATGTTGTAGTTCTTTTAATTGTTTTGGAAATAGAAATGCTTGACTTTCTGATGACTGTTGAAATGGTATTCATGGACAGAAGGATAGAGAAACATCCTCCTCTCTCGTTCTATGTATTTTTGGATTCTGTTATACATTTAATGTTGACTCTCTGAGTTAGTTCCTAAAACAGAAACTTAAAGAGATATACGTATTCAAGCAGCACAATTTGCTACTCTTCAGTTTCGTGAAGTTTACATATCTGAACACTAAAATACACTACAATTCTATTAATAGGTAGGAGGACGTTCATTTGACACATATTTCATTTCCTTCAAAAACGACAGCGTAAAGAATATTGCAGAAATGTTTTGGTGTACATTTAGTCCTGGGTGATAGATGTACCTTTTGACCCTTGATGCTCACATAATTGACTTCACAAAAATTGAACTTACTGTACATGTTTAAGGGGCTTTAGTTGGTGTGGTGCAATGACACAGTATGCCTGTTCAGATTTTTCGTCTGTCTGCATCCCCCGGCACAAGTGAATCTGCTTCATTCTCAAAAAACAATATTGTACAAACTACTCTAACTTGGCGGCATAGTTTTTATCCACACCTGTTTCTTCCCCATCTGAGACAATAACGACATGAATTAGCCTCTAAATTGTAATGGTAAGCCTCGCTCGTATTTCTTTCCTCGTATCGCCTCCCCACCCTTCTCAGTCTGTGTGTTTGCTTCCTTGTCCTGGAGCTTGTTTAGTGGAAGAGCTTAATAAAGACGGGAACAAAACCCCTTTCTCCCGCCTGCCGGCCCCTGTGCGTGACACATGAAATATGGGAAAGCTTGGTGTGAGACAAGCGGCATTATGTTCTGCTGGAGTTTTTTTGTCTCGCGGAAATAAATCTTTGGGCATGATATTAGACAGGAAAATGTATTTCAGCAGAACGGATTACTTACACAGACCTGTCAGACTATCTGTGCAGTCTGGGAGCTGGGGCCTCGTCAGCATGCTGAAGCTTTTGTTTTCTTTTCTTTTAATCTCTTTATTCGATAGTGGTAGTTCTGCTGGTGTCACTGAATTCATATATCAAGAGAATGCGAGTGTCTTTGTTTGTCTGCATTAGGCCCTGCAGTGTAAGCAGGTACTAAGACACTGATAGAAGCAAGAGGTGCTACGGCAATTAATTGTTAATGGTGTTTGACTTTTCTGGCTGGCTACAAGCAGTGACATTCTCTATATCTGATTAAATGACATAGATTTGTGGTGCTAGGCACATCAGGAAATATTTTCCTAAAATTAATATTTATAACATTACGCTATGTTATTGCATTGTCCATCCGTCTGATTTCTAACTGCTTATTGCATTTCGTGGTTGAATGAGATGCCAGTCCATCATAGAACACAGACAGACACGCACTCACTCACACCTAGGAACAGTTTGTGTGCTGCATTATTATTTAGCTCTTCACCTCAGGAGGAAAAACGTTTTGAATGATCCTCGTATCATTTAAACTTATAGGAGGCAGAGGTGTAGCCAGATGTGAGAAACGCAGAGAGGAAATTGAAAGAGCCGATGATAAGGATAAAAGCATGTTAATGCCACTCTCATGCTATCTATAGCATTTAAGACACATTTAGTAAAATCTGCTTTTCAGATTAAATAAGAAGGAGTTTTGGTATGACTGAATTTTGATAGCTCTTAAAATAAAGTGAAGAGTAATTTTATGCATATTATCTGTCATGGCAAAATAGACAGATTAGCTTAACCTTTATGACTGTCTCAAAATAATGATGCAGATATTTTAAAAAAATAGGAATACAGTAGGTTATATAAACATGCCTATATCTTAATCTCTTAGAACAGAGCAAAAATGTTGTTTATTCTACTGTGTATGGAAGGTAAATAGGTCTTCTGACAATCGGTTGCATCTGTCCTCACTAAGACTGCACCGCGGCCGGTCCTTGACTTGAAAAGCTGGAAGCCGTTGCCCGTGCAGGTGTGCAGTGCAGACACCTCAACACACACACACACATGCACTGCAAAGGGTCTCAGACTGATACTGAGGGACATGCGAGGCCACCCACCAAGACCCAGCAAAAACAAACAGCCACCACATGGCTCTGCCCTATCTCCAGACTATCGCAGATACTGCATCCTCTTCTGCCTGCCCTTAAGGAGACAGAGCATTCTGCCCGTCTGTGCTTCGGCTCATCCAAGGTGCGTGAAACCCCCATGCCTTGGAAGGCTGATGTTGAAGCTGTACAGCACTCTCCTGGTTTCACACGCACAGTACTACAGTATGCAGGTATAATAAACCTGGAATCGTAGCTCTTTTATAAGCCAGATCACATTCAAGGAGTGTTCAATTAATGTGAGATGTGGCAGACACGGTTTGTCAGCAAAGCTTATCTTTCTGGATGGTCGTCATCGCAAGTGCGAATTTGTTCTCTGTTGCCTCATATGGTTAAACAAATCATTAAAAATTATGAGGTGTCTCTACGTCAAATATGTGACCTGTGGTGTTGTGATTCAAGACGATGATTCGATATTTGTGACCACTGAAACATTGAGGCGTTCTGGATGTGAGCCACACGTGTTGTAAGTCCTCTGACTTGGAGCTGTCAGATTATTTTTCTCATTCCAAATTTTAAGAGAATCTGAGAGTTTTGAGACTGATGAAGATGTCATTGTGCTGACAGGACCGAGGAATGCTCTCAGAAAAAAGGGAGGAGATTGTGTTAAATGGCCTTAGAGAGTACGTACTTGGTAAGGTTGACACTTCTCCACTATCTTTTATATAAAGTAATCAGACAACAGTGTGGTTCAAAATGTAGAAAACAGTTCAACTAAATAATTTAGCAATTATTTTGCTCCAAATACTTCAAAGGCAAAATTTTCTTTCAGTTAAGTTGATATCTGCAAGCTTTCTTTGTCTCATAATGTGTTTGGTGATGCAGTGATTTAAAATAGATTTTGAGGGAACCTTACAGCGAACTCCTTCATGCTTGTGTCCTGCGAATGTAATCGGCCCTTTTTTAAGATTACCCATGAGGAACACCTGCATTCATGAGCACTGAAACCATCATCTGTTATCAGATAATGTCATCGTTATTTCAATGAGAAAATTAAACACCTTTTATACTAAAAGGATTGGTTACGTGTTCTAAATGTAAGCAGTTTTTTAAATGGTAATTCTTATGTAGCTTTCTATGTGTAAAAGAAATTCATTCCAACTTTAAAATGCTTGCTCAACGGGAGCGGTGAGACTGGAAGTATGTTGCTGGGAGGGCTTAAGGAGGGATGACGGGATGAGTTTCACACACTATGCTGAGGGAGTCCTGGCAGTGCCGATGGGTATAGACATTCTGGAAAGCTGCCAAGGCAGTTATTTTGGAGACTCAGGTGCCCCTGATTGAGGAGCAAGGCCTTATAAAGACCTCCTGCTTAATGGGGTGGAAGCGGGTTATCTCCTGGATTGCACTGACATGGCCAACTTGTTTGTATCTAGTCAGCACCTTCCTCAGACCCTTACCCCATGAAGCAATGTCCCCGAACCAATTACAGCCTCTCGATAAGGCCCTTGCCCAGCATCAGATTCTGCTCTGCTGTGTGACTGTTTAGTGGCTTGACCTGCTAGAAAACGGCCTTGGGTATTACAGATTTCCCTGCTTCTAAGCCGACTCATTTCAGTCTAACTGCTCCCTTAAAGTGTCAAAATAATTCCTATCAAGCCGCTCTGAATAATAATGGTGTTTTACTTCATTGCTGAGTACATTAATTAGTGTCCTATTGATTTTGTTGCAAATTTTTGCCTCGGATAGTGGGTTTCCTAAGTGGAGAGAAAAGAAAAAGGACTTGCTTGACCACATCTTAATTACCAGATTGAACAAAGTTACTGTTAGTTACAAACTAACATTTCCAACCAGGCTGTTCAATGTCCCATCTGTTTCTTACATACGTTTTGCATGTTTTTATGAGATGTTGCATTTTGTGATGGTAGCAAACTGGACTGCAGTGTAAAGTGTGATTGAGGCAGGCGTGAACCCAGGTGTGACAGGGAGGGTGAACAAGAGCTCGACTAAATGACAAATATCCTAAAATGGCTAATAGTTGCCAGGAGCCAGGTTTAAACCAGTACTATTTAAAGAACAAAATTATGCTGTCTTTATCCTGGCCCTGTTTGCAAATCCAGTTAAGAATCTCTAAAGTGTATTCTAGTTAAAGGTAATTATTCAGTTTGATTCCTGAAAACTGTACAACAAGCTTCTACCTTGATGTTCAATGGCACCATACTGTACATGGAAATAATCTCTCTGTAAAAAAGTGATTTCAGCCCAATTTGAGTTTTACAAATGATTGCCTCTTCTATTACCAGCCAAGCCCAGAAGCATGATACCACACTTAGTGCTTTTTTCTGAGACTTCATTTTCGAATAATGTGTGGTATTTTAGGACTGGGTGGTGC